CACACAGATTTACATTTACATTTACATCATTTAGCAGACGCTCTTATCCAGAGCGACTTACAAAAAGTGCTTTGTCTATCCAGAGAAAGAATCTTTGCTAGCTAAGATGCACTCACACACACACAAACACACACTCACACACAGACACAAACACACACACACAAACACACACAAACACACACACACACAAATGCACTCTCACACACACACACACACACACAAATGCACACACACACAAACAGACACATGAACACACTCACACACACGTACAAACACACACACTCTCACACACAAACACTCACACACACACACAAACACACTCACACACACACACACACACACAAATACACACACTCTCACACATACATACACACACACTCTCACACACATACACACACACAAACACACACACACAAACACACTCTCACACACACACACATACACAAACACAAATAGACACACACAAACACACACACACACATACACAAACACAAACAGACACACACAAACACACACACTCACACACACACACACAGACACACACACACAAACACACACATAAACACACACAGACACACAAACACACACACACAAACACACACAAAAACACACAAACACATACACACACAGACACACACAAACACACACACAGACACACAAACACACACACAAACACACACTCACACACACACAAACATACACACACACACACACAAACATACACACAAACACACACAGACACACACAGACACACTAACACACACAAACACACACACACACATACACACACACAAACACACACACAAACACACATAAACACACACAGACACACTAACACACACACGAACACACACACACAAACACACACATACAAACACACATAAATACACACACAAACACACACATACACACAGACACATACACACACACACACAAACATACACACACACACAAACAGACACACTAACACACACAAACACACACACATACACACACACAAACACACACATAAACACAGACACATACACACACAGACACACATACAGACACACTAACACACACATAAACACACACACAGACACATGCACACACACAAACATACACACAGACACACACACAAACACACACAAACACACACAGACACATGCACACACAAACATACACACAGACACACACACAAACACACATAAACACACACAGACACAGACACATACACACACACACAAGCACACACACATAAACACACACACAAACACACACACACATAAACACACACAGACACAGACACATACACACACACACAAGCACACACACATAAACACACACACACAAACACACACTCACACACACACAAACATACACACACACACACACAAACATACACACAAACACACACAGACACACACAGACACACTAACACACACAAACACACACACACACATACACACACACAAACACACACACAAACACACACAAACACACATAAACACACACAGACACACTAACACACACACGAACACACACACACAAACACACACATACAAACACACATAAATACACACACAAACACACACATACACACAGACACATACACACACACACACAAACATACACACACACACAAACAGACACACTAACACACACAAACACACACACATACACACACACAAACACACACATAAACACAGACACATACACACACAGACACACATACAGACACACTAACACACACATAAACACACACACAGACACATGCACACACACAAACATACACACAGACACACACACAAACACACACAAACACACACAGACACATGCACACACACAAACATACACACAGACACACACACAAACACACATAAACACACACAGACACAGACACATACACACACACACAAGCACACACACATAAACACACACACAAACACACACACACACAAACACACACAGACACATACACACACACACACAGATTTACATTTACATTTACATCATTTAGCAGACGCTCTTATCCAGAGCGACTTACAAAAAGTGCTTTGTCTATCCAGAGAAAGAATCTTTGCTAGCTAAGATGCACTCACACACACACAAACACACACAGACACAAACACACACACACAAACACACACACACACAAATGCACTCTCACACACACACACACACACACACAAATGCACACACACACAAACAGACACATGAACACACTCACACACACGTACAAACACACACACTCTCACACACAAACACTCACACACACACACAAACACACTCACACACACACACACACACACAAATACACACACTCTCACACATACATACACACACAAACACACACACACAAACACACTCTCACACACACACATACACAAACACACAGACACACACAAACACACACACAGACACACACACACAAACACACTCACACACACACACAAACACAAACAGACACACACAAACACACACACTCACACACACACAGACACACAAACACACACACAAATACGCAAACACACACTCAGGACACACAGGAAGCTGAGAGGTGAGAGAATAATGTGATCTGGTGTAAAGTGAGTTTGTTCTCTAGTTCACCACCATGTAAGACAGTTTGTCTGGTATTGTCTGTGTTTTAGACTGAATCAGGGTAAGAGGTCAGACTCACCTGAACCCAGCTGTGTGTCCATGAAGAGTGACCAGTCAGAGGACAGATTTATAGACTTCAGAGATGATAACAGTTCTACTAAGTTCAGGTAAGAATGGTGTGAAACTGAAGAGTGAGATTATAAGATACTCCTACTTTCTCTCTGAACTCCAGTGTTCTTGATGGGAAAATGGTTCAAAGGCTTGAAGGTTCTGACTGACAGACAAACAGAAGCAGCACAGTCATAAAAATGTTTCACTCCATTCTTAGTTCATTATTCTGTAAATATATAACCTTACATGGAAAATAACAATATAACAGATTTAATAGCACGAGTCTTCAAATACATTGAACCTGGAAATTCTAGCAGAGCACACACACACACACACACACACACACACACTCACACACACACACACACACACATAAACACACACAGACACATACATACACACACACACACAAATGCACTCTCACACACACAAACACACTCTCACACACAAACAGACACAAACACACACACAAATGCACTCACACACACACAAACACAAACACACACACAAATGCACTCTCACACAGACACATGAACACACAAACACACGTACAAACACACACACTCTCACACACAAACACTCACACACAAACACACACACACACACACAAACACACACAAATACACACACTCTCACACATACATACACACACACTCTCACACACATACACACACACAAACACACACACACAAACACACTCTCACACACACACACATACACAAACACAAATAGACACACACAAACACACACACACACATACACAAACACAAACAGACACACACAAACACACACACTCACACACACACACACAGACACACACACACAAACACACACATAAACACACACAGACACACAAACACACACACACAAACACACAAAAACACACAAACACATACACACACAGACACACACAAACACACACACAGACACACAAACACACACACAAACACACACTCACACACACACAAACATACACACACACACACACAAACATACACACAAACACACACAGACACACAGACACACTAACACACACAAACACACACACACACATACACACACACGCACCCACACAAACATACACACAGACACACACACACAAACACACACACAAACACACACAAACACACATAAACACACACAGACACACTAACACACACACGAACACACACACACAAACACACACATACAAACACACATAAATACACACACAAACACACACAAACACACACATACACACAGACACATACACACACACACACAAACATACACACACACACAAACAGACACACTAACACACACACACATACACACACACAAACACACACATAAACACAGACACATACACACACAGACACACATACAGACACACTAACACACACATAAACACACACACAGACACATGCACACACACAAACATACACACAGACACACACACAAACACACACAAACACACACAGACACATGCACACACACAAACATACACACAGACACACACACAAACACACACAGACACAGACACATACACACACACACAAGCACACACACATAAACACACACACAAACACACACACACATAAACACACACAGACACATACACACACACACAAGCACACACACACAAGCACACACACATAAACACACACACAAACACACACACACATAAACACACAGACACATACACACACACACACAGATTTACATTTACATTTACATCATTTAGCAGACGCTCTTATCCAGAGCGACTTACAAAAAGTGCTTTGTCTATCCAGAGAAAGAATCTTTGCTAGCTAAGATGCACTCACACACACACAAACACACACTCACACACAGACACAAACACACACACACAAACACACACAAACACACACTCACACACAGACACAAACACACACACACAAACACACACAAACACACACACACAAATGCACTCTCACACACACACACACACACACAAATGCACACACACACAAACAGACACATGAACACACTCACACACACGTACAAACACACACACTCTCACACACAAACACTCACACACACACACACAAACACACTCACACACACACACACACACACAAATACACACACTCTCACACATACATACACACACAAACACACACACACAAACACACTCTCACACACACACACATACACAAACACAAACAGACACACACAAAACACACACACAGACACACACACACAAACACACTCACACACACACACAAACACAAACAGACACACACAAACACACACACTCACACACACACAGACACACAAACACACACACAAATACGCAAACACACACTCAGGACACACAGGAAGCTGAGAGGTGAGAGAATAATGTGATCTGGTGTAAAGTGAGTTTGTTCTCTAGTTCACCACCATGTAAGACAGTTTGTCTGGTATTGTCTGTGTTTTAGACTGAATCAGGGTAAGAGATCAGACTCACCTGAACCCAGCTGTGTGTCCATGAAGAGTGACCAGTCAGAGGACAGATTTATAGACTTCAGAGATGATAACAGATCTACCGAGTTCAGGTAAGAATGGTGTGAAACTGAAGAGTGAGATTATAAGATACTCCTACTTTCTCTCTGAACTCCAGTGTTCTTGATGGGAAAATGGTTCAAAGGCTTGAAGGTTCTGACTGACAGACAAACAGAAGCAGCACAGTCATAAAAATGTTTCACTCCATTCTTAGTTCATTATTCTGTAAATATATAACCTTACATGGAAAGAAACAATATAACATATTTAATAGCACGAGTCTCAAATACATTGAACTGAAATTCTAGCAGAGCACACACACACACACACACACACACACTCACACACACACACACACACTCACACACACACAAACACACAAAAAAACACACACACAAACACACACATAAACAAACACACATAAACACACACAGACACACACAAACACACACATAAACACACACAGACACATACATACACACACACACACAAATGCACTCTCACACACACAAACACACTCTCACACACAAACAGACACAAACACACACACAAATGCACTCACACACACACAAACACAAACACACACACAAATGCACTCTCACACACACAAACACACACACACACAAATGCACACACACACAGACACATGAACACACAAACACACGTACAAACACACACACTCTCACACACAAACACTCACACACAAACACACACACACACACACACAAACACACACATACACACACTCTCACACATACATACACACACACTCTCACACACATACACACACACAAACACACACACACAAACACACTCTCACACACACACACATACACAAACACAAATAGACACACACAAACACACACACACACACATACACAAACACAAACAGACACACACAAACACACACACTCACACACACACACAGACACACACACACAAACACACACATAAACACACACAGACACACAAACACACACACACAAACACACACAAAAACACACAAACACAGACACATACACACACAGACACACACAAACACACACACAGACACACAAACACACACACAAACACACACTCACACACACACAAACATACACACACACACACACACAAACATACACACAAACACACACAGACACACACAGACACACTAACACACACAAACACACACACACACATACACACACACGCACCCACACAAACATACACACAGACACACACACACAAACACACACACAAACACACACACAAACACACACAAACACACATAAACACACACAGACACACTAACACACACACGAACACACACACACAAACACACACATACAAACACACATAAATACACACACAAACACACACACATACACACAGACACATACACACACACACACACAAACATACACACACACACAAACAGACACACTAACACACACACAACCACAACACACATACACACACACAAACACACACATAAACACAGACACATACACACACAGACACACATACAGACACACTAACACACACATAAACACACACACAGACACATGCACACACACAAACATACACACAGACACACACACAAACACACACAAACACACACAGACACATGCACACACAAACATACACACAGACACACACACAAACACACATAAACACACACAGACACAGACACATACACACACACACAAGCACACACACATAAACACACACAGACACATACACACACACACACAGATTTACATTTACATTTACATCATTTAGCAGACGCTCTTATCCAGAGCGACTTACAAAAAGTGCTTTGTCTATCCAGAGAAAGAATCTTTGCTAGCTAAGATGCACTCACACACACACAAACAACACACTCACACACAGACACAAACACACACACACAAACACACACAAACACACACACACAAATGCACTCTCACACACACACACACACACACAAATGCACACACACACAAACAGACACATGAACACACTCACACACACGTACAAACACACACACTCTCACACACAAACACTCACACACACACACAAACACACTCACACACACACACACACACACAAATACACACACTCTCACACATACATACACACACAAACACACACACACAAACACACTCTCACACACACACACATACACAAACACAAACAGACACACACAAACACACACACAGACACACACACACAAACACACTCACACACACACACAAACACAAACAGACACACACAAACACACACACTCACACACACACAGACACACAAACACACACACAAATACGCAAACACACACTCAGGACACACAGGAAGCTGAGAGGTGAGAGAATAATGTGATCTGGTGTAAAGTGAGTTTGTTCTCTAGTTCACCACCATGTAAGACAGTTTGTCTGGTATTGTCTGTGTTTTAGACTGAATCAGGGTAAGAGATCAGACTCACCTGAACCCAGCTGTGTGTCCATGAAGAGTGACCAGTCAGAGGACAGATTTATAGACTTCAGAGATGATAACAGTTCTACTAAGTTCAGGTAAGAATGGTGTGAAACTGAAGAGTGAGATTATAAGATACTCCTACTTTCTCTCTGAACTCCAGTGTTCTTGATGGGAAAATGGTTCAAAGGCTTGAAGGTTCTGACTGACAGACAAACAGAAGCAGCACAGTCATAAAAATGTTTCACTCCATTCTTAGTTCATTATTCTGTAAATATATAACCTTACATGGAAAATAACAATATAACATATTTAATAGCACGAGTCTTCAAATACATTGAACCTGGAAATTCTAGCAGAGCACACACACACACACACACACACACACACACACACACACACTCACACACACACACACACACATAAACACACACAGACACATACATACACACACACACACAAATGCACTCTCACACACACAAACACACTCTCACACACAAACAGACACAAACACACACACAAATGCACTCACACACACACAAACACAAACACACACACAAATGTACTCTCACACAGACACATGAACACACAAACACACGTACAAACACACACACTCTCACACACAAACACTCACACACAAACACACACACACACACACACAAAACACCACAAATACACACACTCTCACACATACATACACACACACTCTCACACACATACCACACACAAACACACACACACAAACACACTCTCACACACACACACATACACAAACACAAATAGACACACACAAACACACACACACACATACACAAACACAAACAGACACACACAAACACACACACTCACACACACACACACAGACACACACACACAAACACACACATAAACACACACAGACACACAAACACACACACACAAACACACACAAAAACACACAAACACACAAACACATACACACACAGACACACAAACACACACACAGACACACAAACACACACACAAACACACACTCACACACACACAAACATACACACACACACACACAAACATACACACAAACACACACAGACACACACAGACACACTAACACACACAAACACACACACACACATACACACACACGCACCCACACAAACATACACACAGACACACACACACAAACACACACACAAACACACACACAAACACACACAAACACACATAAACACACACAGACACACAAACACACACACGAACACACACACACAAACACACACATACAAACACACATAAATACACACACAAACACACACAAACACACACATACACACAGACACATACACACACACACACACAAACATACACACACACACAAACAGACACACTAACACACACACACATACACACACACAAACACACACATAAACACAGACACATACACACACAGACACACATGCAGACACACTAACACACACATAAACACACACACAGACACATGCACACACACAAACATACACACAGACACACACACAAACACACACAAACACACACAGACACATGCACACACACAAACATACACACAGACACACACACAAACACACATAAACACACACAGACACAGACACATACACACACACACAAGCACACACACATAAACACACACACAAACACACACACACACAAACATACACACAGACACACACACAAACACACATAAACACACACAGACACATACACACACACACACAGATTTACATTTACATTTACATCATTTAGCAGACGCTCTTATCCAGAGCGACTTACAAAAAGTGCTTTGTCTATCCAGAGAAAGAATCTTTGCTAGCTAAGATGCACTCACACACACACAAACACACACTCACACACAGACACAAACACACACACACAAACACACACAAACACACACACACAAATGCACTCTCACACACACACACACACACACACAAATGCACACACACACAAACAGACACATGAACACACTCACACACACGTACAAACACACACACTCTCACACACAAACACTCACACACACACACAAACACACTCACACACACACACACACACACAAATACACACACTCTCACACATACATACACACACAAACACACACACACAAACACACTCTCACACACACACACATACACAAACACAAACAGACACACACAAACACACACACAGACACACACACACAAACACACTCACACACACACACAAACACAAACAGACACACACAAACACACACACTCACACACACACAGACACACAAACACACACACAAATACGCAAACACACACTCAGGACACACAGAAGCTGAGAGGTGAGAGAATAATGTGATCTGGTGTAAAGTGAGTTTGTTCTCTAGTTCACCACCATGTAAGACAGTTTGTCTGGTATTGTCTGTGTTTTAGACTGAATCAGGGTAAGAGATCAGACTCACCTGAACCAGCTGTGTGTCCATGAAGAGTGACCAGTCAGAGGACAGATTTATAGACTTCAGAGATGATAACAGTTTACTACTAAGTTCAGGTAAGAATGGTGTGAAACTGAAGAGTGAGATTATAAGATACTCCTACTTTCTCTCTGAACTCCAGTGTTCTTGATGGGAAAATGGTTCAAAGGCTTGAAGGTTCTGACTGACAGACAAACAGAAGCAGCACAGTCATAAAAATGTTTCACTCCATTCTTAGTTCATTATTCTGTAAATATATAACCTTACATGGAAAATAACAATATAACAGATTTAATAGCACGAGTCTTCAAATACATTGAACCTGGAAATTCTAGCAGAGCACACACACACACACACACACACACACACACACACACACACACACACACACACACTCACACACACACACAAAAAAACACACACACAAAAACACACATAAACAAACACACATAAACACACACAGACACACACAAACACACACATAAACACACACAGACACATACATACACACACACACACAAATGCACTCTCACACACACAAACACACTCTCACACACAAACAGACACAAACACACACACAAATGCACTCACACACACACAAACACAAACACACACACAAATGCACTCTCACACAGACACATGAACACACAAACACACGTACAAACACACACACTCTCACACACAAACAGACACAAACACACACACAAATGCACTCTCACACACACAAACACACACACACACAAATGCACACACACACAGACACATGAACACACAAACACACGTACAAACACACACACTCTCACACACAAACACTCACACACAAACACACACACACACACACACAAACACACACAAATACACACACTCTCACACATACATACACACACACTCTCACACACATACACACACACAAACACACACACACAAACACACTCTCACACACACACACATACACAAATAGACACACACAAACACACACACACACATACACAAACACAAACAGACACACACAAACACACACACTCACACACACACACAGACACACACACACAAACACACACATAAACACACACAGACACACAAACACACACACACAAACACACACAAAAACACACAAACACACAAACACAGACACATACACACACAGACACACACAAACACACACACAGACACACAAACACACACACAAACACACACTCACACACACACAAACATACACACACACACACAAACATACACACAAACACACACAGACACACACAGACACACTAACACACACAAACACACACACACATACACACACACGCACCCACACAAACATACACACAGACACACACACACAAACACACACACAAACACACACACAAACACACACAAACACACATAAACACACACAGACACACTAACACACACACGAACACACACACACAAACACACACATACAAACACACATAAATACACACACAAACACACACAAACACACACACATACACACAGACACATACACACACACACACACAAACATACACACACACACAAACAGACACACTAACACACACAAACACACACACACATACACACACACAAACACACACATAAACACAGACACATACACACACAGACACACATACAGACACACTAACACACACATAAACACACACACAGACACATGCACACACACAAACATACACACAGACACACACACAAACACACACAAACACACACAGACACATGCACACACAAACATACACACAGACACACACATAAACACACACAGACACAGACACATACACACACACACAAGCACACACACATAAACACACACACAAACACACACACACATAAACACACACAGACACAGACACATACACACACACACAAGCACACACACATAAACACACAGACACATACACACACACACACAGATTTACATTTACATTTACATCATTTAGCAGACGCTCTTATCCAGAGCGACTTACAAAAAGTGCTTTGTCTATCCAGAGAAAGAATCTTTGCTAGCTAAGATGCACTCACACACACACAAACACACACTCACACACAGACACAAACACACACACACAAACACACACAAACACACACACACAAATGCACTCTCACACACACACACACACACACAAATGCACACACACAAACAGACACATGAACACACTCACACACACGTACAAACACACACACTCTCACACACAAACACTCACACACACACACAAACACACTCACACACACACACACACACACAAATACACACACTCTCACACATACATACACACACACTCTCACACACATACACACACACAAACACACACACACAAACACACTCTCACACACACACACATACACAACACAATAGACACACACAACACACACACACACATACACAAACACAAACAGACACACCACAAACACACACACTCACACACACACACCAGACACCACACACAAACACACACATAAACACACACAGACACACCACACACACAACACACACACACACACACAAAAACACACACAAACACATACACCCACAGACACACACAAACACACACACAGGACACAGCACAAACACACACACAAACACACATCCACACAACACA